CACTAATCCATGTTGTATCCATGTTCACTTCTTGAGGACACAGGGCTTGAGAAATTGAAAAGAACAGAATGAATTTGCCAACCACTGTCAGACTGTCAGATGGTAGTTATGCACTTACAAAGTCAAGAGAACAAGGTAAGCTGCCCCAATTTATGAACAATCACCCAATGAATACCTTGTGCATGCGCAAAGGAGGTAATAGTATATGGAGCTTCCTTGACACTCCTCCATTCCTGCTTACCTCTTTTCTCAGTTCATTTCTCCTGCTCAGCGACTGACCCAGAGTTCCCTCCTTCTCTCTCGTTAGCAGACAAATGAAGATACAAGAGCTACCTTCCACTCTGAGGATGGAGCCAACAGTACCATGGGGAACAGAAACAACAAAGACTTTGGAAGGAAACAGATCTAAGTTCAAGTTCTGACTTTGCCATTTATCAGATTTGGGAACTCAGGCAAGTTGCTTCCCTTTTGCATCTGTAAAATAGGATAAGTAAGCATGCCTACCTCACTGGACTACTGGAGTGGAAAATGGGTTCTTTTTGACAAGTGCCTTGGGCAGGGCCTGACATATAATACATATTTGATGAATGGTAGTTCCCTTAGGAATTTATTTCCCCATCCCCCCAAAAATTCTGTGGACCTGTCTGCTCTTGCCCTTTGTTCCTAACCTCCCTATCCTTTCCCTGAGAGCACCACATGAGGAAGCTCAGGTTAGCCTATTAGAGGATGAGAAGTCACATGGAGTAGCAGACTTTCCCAGTTGGTAATAAACACCAACTTCCAAATGTAGGTGAAACCATTTTGGACCATCTAGCCTCATCTGAGCTACCAGGTAGCTTCAGCCATAAGAATGACCTCAAGCAAAAGCAACAGATGAACCACCCCACTGAGCCCAGCCCAAATTGCTGACCCACAGAATCATGAGCAAGTAAATGTTATGCACAAAAGATAACTGATGCACAAAGTCTTTAACACACAGCTCTAGGGGGCTGCTGGATTCATAGGACATTCCCATTCTCTAGTACTATCTCCTACATTGCAGGTGTGGACTCCCAGCAGCCCTGCTGCCTTGGTCAAAGGTGAACCCTGTCTGAGATTGGACCAACCATATTCCCTCTTACATCATGCTGGCACTCTAGGTAGCTGGACCACTAGCTGTGGTTGCTGAGATCTCTGGGGTCACCCTGGCTCTGCTCTTCTCAAGACCTGGTCTACCTTTGATGAGCTTCCCTGGTATCCTTCAGATACATTCCATCTCTCCTTGAAATAGTTAGAGTTGGTTTCTGTTGCCCATACCCCCCAAATTCTTAATGAATAAAAGTCCCCTTCAAAAAGTTTGACCCTGCATATGAGGAACAGTTAGTCTGTAAGTATGTTTAAATGTTCCTTGTGTCCTGAACACCAGCTGATCTCTGCAGAAAAAGAAAGAGTGAAGAGAAGGCACCAGCCTTACCCTCATGCAGTCTCAAATATGAGAGTCCTCCTGGCTCAGTTTTTTGACTGATTTTTCCCTTAATTTGCAGCCCTGGCAACTAAAGAGAGTTCTGCTAAGTCAGTAGTTATTCATTATTAACTTGAGTTATAATATATAATCCTTGGCTTTACCAGGAAAACCCACAAGCAGATCTGAGACTTTGCTACTTGCCCAAGGCCATTCAGATCCTTGAAAGATGAGGAAGTAAGTCACTTCTCTTCCTTGGTATCCTACTTAGAAGCCCAAAAGGGAGCTAATACTTTTCCTTGTGACTTTTAAGACTTGCTTAAAGGATAGGAATAGTGAATAGGACACTTACATGCCAGGCACTGTTATATACAGGATCCAAACAACCCTGTGAGAGGTAAGCACTGGTGTTCTCATTTTACAAGTGAAGAAACAGACCTGGAGAAGTGAAAAGGATGCCCAAGGTCACAGAGTCTTAATTCAAGTCCAGGCTTGTTGTCCAAACTCCTGCTTTTCCCACTACCTGGCTGCTTTTCTAAGAAGAAAGCAATAGAAGCTGAGTTGGGGTTGGAGGTGGACGGTGTGTCATGCACCTTATTAACAGTCATTAGAAATGATAACTCCACAGTTCTCCCTGGTTACCAAGATGAATTTATTCCAACACTTCCCAAAGAACAAATTTATTTTAAAATTGTCTCTGTGATATCAATAAGTGAATATCAACAAATGTTCTACAAAAAAGGGGGGCTGGGGAGATTCCTTCAGTAAATAAGATTTGAACTAGTTGCTTTATTGTAGGACACCTCAAAAACTTAACTCAAAATTTAGAGTAACCCCATGGATCTCCAATGGGAAGATATAGTGTGATATTAGTTGGGGTACACCTTAGGCTGCCATAACAAAGATACTCTAAAATACAGTGGCTAAAATAGAAGTTAATTTCTTTTCCATATATCAGTATAAAGATGAGTGGACCAAGGTTGGCCAAGTGGCTCTTCCATCCTCAACACATGAATTCTAAGATGGTACAAGTGGTTACCATTTCTCAGGCAAGGGAAGCAAGAATAGAGGGAGTCTGGAGCAAGAAGTTTTCTCTTTAAGAAGATAATGTGAAAGTTACACACAACACATGTGCTTACTTCCCACTCGCCTAAACTCAGCCAAGTGGACATAACCAGATCAAAGGAAGCTAAAAGATACAGTCTCTAGTTTGGTGCCCAAATCTCAGGCCAAAATTCAGAGAGTTCTATCACCAAAATGCAGAAAGGGAGAACAAATATCAAAGGAAAATTGGCAGTTTCTCATCATCCCCAAATTTATTCACTAACAAAATTCTTTTTTACACAACGGTCCTCAGGACTGGCATTTCATTACATTATTAGTCAGGATAGGATAGTTAATGATGCAGTGACAAACAACCCTGAACTCCAGAGGCTTAAAACAACATAAGTTTATTCTCACCTGTACTGCATGTCTATAGTGGGGGAGGGATGGAAAGAGAGGGTTTGCTCTGCTCTCTGGGAAGGAGTTGATGGAGAAGCTGTCCTCTGGAACAATGCTGATTTCCAGGATAGAAGGAATGAGAGTGCGGGCGAATCAACCACCACCACATCTAACTTCGAGGAAATCTAGGTTGAGGCTGACAGCAATTCATAGCCTCTTCCTCACATGCATCTCCTTCAAATCAGACCTTTGTTCCCAGAACTGAGGCAGTTTAGACAGAGCCCCCTGTCTCTCTAACAGGGTTCCAGAGTCTGTTGAAGAGAAAGAGGCCTCCTTCTCTCTTCCTTGTCCTGATCTGCCACCATGTTGTACCAATTGGAGTACCAAATACAAGCTCTGGATGATTATGGTAATTGACAAAAGTGTCTGCACTTACTACCTTCCCTGTATCTATGTCCACGTTATCAGGAGACAGAGCCTATTTCTCCAGTTTTTTAATCTGGTTGGGGTTTGTGGCTTGCGTTGACCAACAGAATGAGGCAGAAATGACACTGTGCCCGTTCTGGGCCTCACGAGGCCTTGTACCATGTCCATCCACTCTCTCCTGAGGAAGACTGCCACCATGATATGATCACTATATGATCCCTGTGTGATCAAGTGTGGGCTCATCTGCTGGAGGATAATAGATCCCACAGAATAGAAATGAGCCATCCCAGCTGAGGTAACACCAGATGATATAGTGTGGGGTGGGGGACACAGGACAGGGCATCCCAAAGCCCAAGAGATTGATCATTAGTGTGCCCTGGAACATAGCAAGGGTCACAGAGGCCCAGGGTAACCACTATCCCAGTCTACATATACCAGGGTTTCCCAGGACATGGGAATTTCAGGGCTAAAACCACAAAGCCTGGGATGAACCAGGATACTTGGTCACCTTACAGCAAGGCTAATCAGTCCATGAACTGCATGGCCTTCCTTAAGAGGAACTAGAAAGAGTCAGAAAGTGGGGTGTCTTACCCAAGAGCACACAGTTAATTCATTCATCCCTTTTCTTCAATTAATCATACATTCAATGTCACTTAGGTTCACAATCCTGTGACATGGCTGTTTTTCTATAGGTGAAGAAGATTTAATCATAATATACATAATAAAAATAATAATAATAGCCTTTGCCAAGTGTCTATCATCTATCTGGGATGGTTCTAGGCATTTCACATATATTAATCTATTTAATCTTCACAATAGTCACAGGAAAGAAGTACCATTATCCCTGTTTTACAGATGAAAAAACTGAGTCCAAAAAAAGGTTAAGTATGTGACAATGTCACATAATCATTAGGTGGCAGGACTAGGACATCTGGGGCAGTCAAGCTCCAGAACATGCATTCTTTATCAGACACCACACTGTCTGGTGCCCAGCCTGACTGCATTCGAGACAAATCCACCCTCCAAAGCCAGCAGATCCCACCCAGACCCCTCACTCCAGCCGAAATGTCCCACGCATCTTGATGAAGAGGGACGGACAGGAAGATTAAGAAGGTCACAGGTGTGCTGTGCCTGGGTTGAACCTCTGTACAAGAGGTTAACTTGGAGAGTGTTGAACCCTGAAGAGTGTGACATCATGGGTCAGAGGGACCTGTGATATGGTGCATTACATCACTGTAACTCGCTTTCACAGCTACAAAACTGGGAATCTGGACCAAACTACGATTAAAGCCCTGTCTTGACTTGGGGGAATCCAGTTCACTCAACGATTTCCATTCAACAGAAATAACTGAGGTCAGGAACATCGAGGCAGCCATGAAACATGAAAAAAAAAAATCAAATTAACCTAAAGCAGCTGGAGCATCATTCCTCTCCTTTTCTTCCTTTGGTAATATGTTTTCCAGGCTGCTCTTCTATAAAAATCAGGCCTCCGATCTCAGGAGCAGCTGAGGAAAAACAAGAAATAAGAAAGATTATTTCTTGTTTGTCTTTATAGATAGTGTCTATAATCAAAGCACTTTTGAACTCTCCACCCCTAAAAAAAAAAAAAAAAAGGCCTGTGTCTGCACTTTTCCCCCTAGAGAGAATGTTGTTGGCTTTCTTCCTCTTCATTTTGACACTTTCACTTCCTTTGCTGCAAGGTGAAGTGGCCACCAGACTCAGGGTGCAAGTGTCCATCTCTTTCCACAGTGTTTCATGACACGGGAGCCTCCAAGAAGAACCCGTGTTAAGAGTTTCTCTTCAGGATGATTGGACTGCTCTACCCAGCATTGCTGAGGTAAGTGATTCCTCCAACAGAATCTCTGTGTCACGTTGCCCATAAAAATATTGAAGATGCTCTAGTTGATGATTTATGAGTAAGTCAACTGCTCTTTGCCACTTCCACTTCAAGGTGTAATGAGCTAACCATCCCTTCTGCCGTCTCACTCCACCCAACTGCACTCTGGTCACATTCCCCGCTCTCTGGTGAAGCCATAGATTACTCAGCAGAACCCTGCGGCAGGCTTCAAAGGGTGAGGTTTCTATCCCACTAACCAGACGCTCTCCCTCCCTGAGGGTCAGCAGCACTGATCCTTCCTTGGGCTCTTTCCCTTGCTTTCATGACTCCATGCTTTCCCCTACTTACCCTTGCGGAGGAACACAAGGAGTTTTCTGAAATTAAAAACATGTATGTTCCCTCTAGATATTTTAAATTTTAGCTCCTTCCTTTCTAATAACCCCTTCCAGAAATGTCAGTAAGGGATGCTAATCAAGTTAGTTGTTTATTGAAAGCAGGCTACTTTCAGCACAATGTTGGGCTCTGCTGGGAACCGTCTATGACATAGCTGCTATTCTCAGACTTGTAATCTAATTGAGAGACAAGTAGTGCTCATCCACTCATTCCTATGGACATTCAGTACACAATTCTTGAGTGCCTACTGTATGCTAGGTATTAGGGAAACCATACAAGTGGTTTCCAAACTCTGAGCTCTGGCCCCCCGGGGCAGGAGTTGGGGAATGGAGTTATGACAGAGGGTTGTAAATCCACATATGTCACAGTGTCTGCACATTTTTATTCTCTTCTTATTCATGCATTCATTTGACAAATAGGTACTGAGTGTTTATAAACTTGGAATAATGTGTATTTTCCAAAAGCATTTGGATACAGTTGTGATCAATTAAAAACAAATCCACTTAAAAGTTTTACTGAATTTGAAATGTCCTTTTCTCACTGAGTATTTTCTGGGTCAGTGGACACCAGAAGTTCATTCTCACCATGGACCTGCAGAGAAAGAGTTAACACTTTTAAAATGTGTTCTTATACTGGAAAATGTGGGAACATCTGCAAGAGAAGGTTAACAGAGAGTCCATAACAATACCTGAAGGTGTGGGTTTTGTAGGATGACAGCCAGGAATGTGTAGGCAAAGAAACCAGGGAGATGTGGGGGGGAAGCACAGAAGCATGGGGGGGCACCAACGCTATATTTAAACAACCCTTACCCATGTTGGTCCACGGTATGAAGACCACATTACTTTAAAATATGCACATAAACTCTCTCTTCTAAAACGATTTAGTGACAAGTTATTTTATAAAGTTAGTATATCTATCATAACAAATAAATAATCCAGAACATCTAAATCTCCACCTTACTACCCAATCCTGATTATTTAGCTCCATTTACGTAACATAGGTTTTTCTAAAGCAAAATATACTACAGTCGTCTGTGTTCATCATTCTTTATACTTTTCCAAGTGCTTTCCCTATACGTGGTTTGACTGAGCATCACTAGAACGATGAGATGTGGACAGGACAGGACAGGACATTATTCTGATTTTATAGATAAAGTTAGAATGCTGAAGAATAGACAATGAATTACAAGGATACAAAAATAGGCAAGGGTTAGCTAGGTAAAATTGGCAGGAAAGTGGATTACGAAGAAATGTAAAATGGCCCTGGGATGCAGAATCTGGAATTTGGGAAAGAGGAGGTAAGCTAAAATCCTGTGCTTCTACGGGCGGGCCATCATGAGAGTTCTAAAAAGACTGTGCTCATATTAAACACCAATCTCTTAAAATAGAAAAAGAGACATTTTAAGAAGGGCCTAGAAAAAAAGGCAACAACAAATATTTTTTAAAAAATGGAAAATAAAATCTAGAAAAGACAGTCCAACAAGCAGAGTGATGCACGGCAGGAAAATTAAGGGCAACTAAGTGAGGTTCAAGTTGGCTAAATGGAATTCAACCCAGTAGGACTTTCTGTTAACTGTACTTTCATGGAACAATAATTCATGTGGCCTAAAAAAAGTCCAAAAGATTCAACTATACTGGGTCTCATTTCAGGTGATGCATATTTAAGTGAAAGGCATCACTGTCAAAAGAATGAGCTTGGGGGCGCCTGGGTGGCTCAGTTGGTTAAGCGACTGCCTTCGGCTCAGGTCATGATCCTGGAGTCCCGGGATCGAGTCCCGCATCGGGCTCCCAGCTCAGCAGGGAGTCTGCTTCTCCCTCTGACCCT